GGGTTAGTACACTAATTAAGTGGTATATGAAGTTAAAATTAATTACTCGTTCAAAAGTTTGAAACGATGCTCTTGTACCATGTAAATAAATTTAAAATACATTAAATCTAATTTATAATCTTATTTGATATTTTTAATCAACAATCAAGACCTAAATTTCAATTTATAGCCTTTATCGGAAAACTTGATATTTTCGTAGGGGGTTAGCCCACATATTTCAACATAAATTAGAAAATGATATTTTTTTTTACTGCATAGAAGCATCATGCACTGACATAGTATGAATATTAAAGAGGTTTGAGACCTTAGGTGTTCCCGTTTCTCCAAAAACTAAAAAAATTTATTGGGGTTAGTCCACTGATAAGTGGTATATGAACTTACAGTAAATTACTCGTTCATAAATTCAAAACGATGCTCTTGTACCATGAAAAAGAAATTTAAAATACATTAATTTAAATTTATAACCTAATTTGGTATTTTTTTTAATCAACAATCAAGAGCCTAAACTTCAATTTATAGCCTTTATCTGAAAACTCGATTTTTTCGTAGGGGTTAGCACACATATGTCAAGATAAATTAGAAATATGATATTTTTGTTCTACTGCATAGAAGCATCATGCACTGACATAGTATGAATATTAAAGAGATTTGAGACCTTAGGTGTTCCCCTTTCTCCAAAAAATAATTTTTATTGGAGTTAGTCCACTTATTAAATGGTATATGAAGTTAAAATTAATTACTTGTTCAAAAGTTTGAAACGATTCTCTTGTACCATGTAAATAAATTTAAAATACATTAAATTAAATTGATAATCTGATTTGATATTTTTAATCAACAATCAAGAGCCTAAACTTCTATTTATAGCCTTTATCGAAAAACTTGATCTTTTCATAGGGGTTAGCCCACATATTTCAAGATAAATTAGAAAATATGATATTTTTGTTCTACTGCATAGAAGCATCATTCACTGACATACTATGAATATTAAAGAGGTTTGAGACCTTAGGAGTTCTTGTTTCTGCAAAAACAAAAAAAAATGTTTATTGGGGTTAGTACATTGATTAAGTGGTATATGAACTTAAAATAAATTACTTGTTCAAGAATTCAAAACGATGCTCTTGTACCATGAAAATAAATTTAAAATACATTAATCTAAATTGATAATCTGATTTGATATTTTTAATCAACAATCAAGTACCTAAACTTCTATTTATAGCCTTTATCAAAAAATTTGATCTTTTCATAGGAAATAGCCCACATATTTCAAGATAAATTAGAAAATATGATATTTTTGTTTTACTGCATAGAAGCATCATGCACTGACATAGTATGAAGATTAAAGATGTTTGAGACCTTAGGTGTTCCCATTTCTCAAAAAAAAAATTGTTGGGGTTAGTCCACTTATTAAGTGGTATATGAAGTTAAAATTAATTACTCGTTCAAAATTTTAAAACGATGCTCTTGTACCATGTAAATAAATTTAAAATACATTAAATTAAATTTATAATCTGATTTTATATTTTTAATCAACAATCAAGAGCCTAAACTTCAATTTATAGCCTTTATCAGAAAACTTGATCTTTTCATAAGGGTTAGCCAACATATTTCAACATAAATTATAAAATATGATATTTTTTGTTTTATTGCATAGAAGCATCATGCACTGACATAGTTTGAATATTAAAGAGGTTTGAGACCTTAGGTGTTCCCGTTTCTCCAAAAACTAAAAATTTTATTGGGGTTAGTCCACTGATTAAGTGGTATATGAACTTAAAATAAATTACTCGTTCAAGATTTCAAAACGATGCTCTTGTACCATGAAAATAAATTTAAAATACATTAATTTAAATATATAACCTGATCTGGAATTTAATTTTAATCAACAACAAAGAGCCTAAACTTTAATTTATAGCCTTTATCAAAAAAAAAATCAATATTTTCGTAGGGGGTTAACCCACATATTTCAAGATAAATTATAAATTATGAAATTTTTGTTTTAATGAATAAATGTATCATGCACTGGCATAGTATGAAGATTAAATGTGTTTGAGATCTTAGGTGTTCCTATTTCTCTAGAAAATAGAGATTTTATTGGGGTTAGTACATTAATTAGATCGTATATGAAGTTTAAGAACATTATTCATTGAAAAATTAGAAATGATGTTCATGTACCATGAAAATATGTGTAGCATACATAAATATGCATTAGACTGTGGTTATTTATTTTTATGAAATATTTATGCGGCAAAACTTTAGTATATATAACATTTATTGGAAAAAAAAACTTAATCTTTTCGTAAGATAAATTAGAAAATATGGTACTTTGTTTTAGTGCATAAATTCATCATGCAGTGACATTTGATGAAAATTAAATAGGTCTGAGACTTTATTTGTCCATGTATCTATAGAAATTACTTATTTTATAGGGGTTAGTCCACATAATTAATTATGTGGAGAATGAAGTCTTATTCAATTAATCATTAAAATATTAGAAATGATGTTCATGTTTCATGGAAAAAAATTTAACATACATTAATAAAAATGTATAATGTGATTAGGTCTTTTTATCAACATGAAATAGCTTAAACTCTAGTATATAGCATTTATCGGAAAACTCGATCTTTTTGTAGGGGTTAACCCACAGATTTCAAAATAAATTAAAAAATATGGTATTATTCTTTTAATGCATAGATTCATCCAATACAGATATATAATGGAGATTAAGGATTTCGAACACTTTTGTTCTCTCAATTTCTCTAGAATATAGAGATTTCATATGGTTTAGTTCTTTGATTTACGTAGTATATGAAGTTTTATTAAATTACTCGTTGGAAAATTATAACTGATGTCCATGTACCATGAAAATAAATTTAACATAAATTTGTATAATTTTTAATGTGGTTAGATATTTTAAACGACACTAAAGAGGCTAAACTTAAGTATAAATAGCATTTATTGGAAAACCTTGATCTTTTCGTAGGGGTTAACCCACATATTTAAAAATAAATTAAAAAATATGGATTTTTTATGCTTAGCTGCAACCAACGCTGATATAGGATGAATATCAAAGAGTTTTGATACTTTATTTAAAAATAAAGATTTTATAGTTCATCAATTTTGGTGAAATATGGCGTTTAGCATACATTAGTATGAAGTTTTAGAAAATTACTCATTAAAATATTAGAAATGATGCTTATGTATCATGAAAGTATGTGTAACATCCATTAATAAAAATTTATAATGTGATTAGGTATTTTAATCAACATGAAATAGCTTAAACTTCAGTAAATCAGAAAACTCGATCTTTTTATAAGGGTTAACCCACAAATTCAAGATAAATTATAAAATACAGTATTTTTCTTTTGATGTATTGATGCATCCAACACAGATATATGATGAAGATCAAGGATGTCTGACACCTTTGTTGTCTCAATTCTCTAGAATATAGAATTTTCATAGGATTTAGTTCTTTGATTTACGAGGTATATGAAGTTTCATTAAATTACTCGTTGAAAAATTATAACTGATGCCAATTTACCATTAAAATAAATATAGGATACACTAGTATAAATTTTTAATGTGGTTAGATATTCTAAACAACATTAAAAAGACTAAACTTAAATACAAATAGCATTTATCAGAAAAAAAAAACTCAAAATTTTCATAGGGATTAATCCACAGATTTCAAGGTAAATTAGAAAAATATGGAATTTTTTTATTTATGCATAGCTGCATTTAGCATTGATATAAAATGAATATCAAAGAGTTTTGATTCCTTAGTTTTCCAAATTTCTCTAGAAAACATAGATTTCATAGCTGCATAGCTGCATCTATCACTGATATAGAAAAATTATAGTTTTATAAAATATACAAATAATAAAAAAAAATGCATGTGTAATTTACCAAAAATAAAATATTAGTGGAGAAGGTCTCTTAACGTTGCCATGTAATCATACTTTGATTATACATATATTTTTGCATGGCTTCAAATAATATACACATCATTATAACTTACCTTTATTAGTTTAGTAAATGATTAGGTTTAAATGTGATTGTTTCTTTTAATCAGTTTTAAATATATTAAATTTTTATTTGCATATTAAACTGAATTATAATTTGAAATTGTAAAACCAATATTAAATTTTAGTAGCATCTATAAATGGATATAGACACATATAATCTACATTGTATATATGTTATAAAGATTGCATTGGAAAAAAATAAACAATACTTTTATAAAAATACAAGTTATAAATTATTTGTATATTTATTTTTATAAAATGAGTCTCGTGCGATATTGCATGGGTTCCTTACCTAATATGGTATAATGTTAATTCAAAATCAATTCAATAGACATTTCACTGAACTAAAAAATTTTAATCCATCTTTATAAATCATATTCATGATTTAAATTATGTTTTCAAATAATAAAAAAGTGAAATAGTTGTAATGACCAGTTAATTAGAAAACCCTTAAACCACACGTGGCTAAATTATGTTTGTTTCCAAATATGATTCTTAAACACAAAGAACCATATTATATATTCTAGAGAGAGAGAGTATAATGTCATTCAATATCAATTCAGTAAACATTTCACTAAATTAAAATGTTTTCAGTCATATTCATGATTTAGATTGTGTTTTCAAATAGTAAAAAGTGAAATAGTTGTAGTGACCAGTTAAAAAGTATATTGATTCTACACTTCTATACTGCTTAGCTGGCAAAAAGTGACATTGTTTCAACTATAATAAAATTAAATAAAGTATAAAATTCTAAATCGAAAAATTATGTAGAGATAAAGTGTTGCAAAGTGGGGCTGGGGACAGATTTATTTGATTCCGATTTCCAAACAAAATAAAATAAAATAAACTTTTGAGATAAAACATAAAAATAAAATCAACAGTCTCAAATCCCAAATTTTGAGAGAGAGATAGAGAGAAGATAAACCCATTCTCTCTCTCAGAAAACGCTTAGTTTTAAGTTTTAACCATCTCCCACTTATGGACTTTGAAGACAACAACAACGAAGAAGAAGAACTTAACCTTCACGAGGAAGAAGACGCCCTTTACGACTCTCCTCCTCTTCCTCCACCTTCTCGCGCCCTCAAGGCCTCCACTGAAAGTCCCGACACCGCCGGAACAACCTCAACCGGGGAAGGAGGCTTTATGGTCGGAGGGGGAAGCAGGTTTAGGTTCCGTGAGTGTCTCAAGAACCAAGCGGTGAACATAGGAGGACACGCGGTTGATGGTTGTGGTGAGTTTTTGCCTGCTGGAATCGAAGCCCTAAACTGCGCCGCTTGTGGCTGTCACCGTAACTTCCACCGCAAAGAATCACTTTACTTCCACCACCACCACGCGCCGCCCCCGCCAAGATTCTACCGTCTTCCAGCTCCGGTGCGATACCGACCACCGTCACAAGCTCCTCCTCTTCAGCTGGCTCTTCCTCCACCTTCAGAAGATCGAATGGAGACTTCTTCAGCGGAGGCAGGAGGAGGAGGAGGGATTAAGAAGAGGTTTAGGACTAAATTCACGGCGGAGCAGAAGGAGAGGATGTTAGGTTTAGCTGAGAGGATTGGATGGAGATTTCAGAGACAACATGATGAAGTGATTCAAAGGTTTTGCCAAGAGACTGGTGTTCCTAGACAAGTTCTTAAGGTTTGGTTACATAACAACAAACACACTCTAGGTAAGTCGTTGTCGCCACCACTCTATCATCATCAGAATCCAACTCATCCTCCACAATCTTCGTCGTTTCATCATGAACAAGACCAGCCTTGAAATCATGCATTGATTTCTTGATCACTCTCTCCTAGGGTTTTAAGTTGGCTAATTAATTACTTGAAATATTTGAGAAGGTTTTATTGTATAATTTATGTACTCATTTTCGTCTTGTTTCTGATGATCTTTCTGGTTAATTACGTTTTTCGTTATTAACTTCAAAAATATCTTAGCAAATACTTTATTTGCCTAGCTATTTATTTTTGAGGTCTTTAGTATCTAATCAAGCATCACATGTGTTGTCAGTGTTTAAATCTATCATGTTAAACTTTTTCTATGAGCTTATACGGATTCGTCGTACGTGTGTGTATTTTGTGTATGCATTTGTGTAGTAGATAGCATATGATTATTGTTTTTATGTGCATTTGTGTATTTTGATGAATGCTTCATTAGCACTGGTTGACATTGTTCTTGTTTCTTAAGTTCTTGGTGTTTGACAGTGTTTTTATGATTGCTTGACCACCATTTGCAACGCGCACACACATATTTGTGGATTTGATAGCATTCTTGTTTCTTGAGTTCTCTAGGTGTTTAAAGAGAATATATTTTTCTACACATACTACATACTATAAATGTTTATTAATATTAATATGTGTTTATGGGTTTGTCTATATACTTTTCATTTAGTTGTCCAATGAGTGTACTACTCATATGTGGATCGGTCGGAATCTCCTTGGGATGTAGATTTCTGCTTACGAAAATTTGTTCAATTGCTAAGAGGCGTGGATTCTACAATAACCAATCAGTATAAATATAAAAATCATTTATTTGTTCCCCACTTGGAAATGAAAAAGATGAAGTAACATCTGCTAGTATTCTAATTCCTTGGAATTAACTCTTCACTTGACAAGAAAAAACGAATATGTCGATGCATCCAAAGCCAGCTTCGTCTGTCTTTCTAATTGTTTACAATAAATGTGTGTATAAGTGTATTGGTAGAGCATTTTTTTTTAAGATCTCTGGAATGCGACATGTGGGATCTTTGGAAGCATAAAGGAGAATAAGCTATAACACATGCATACAATAGCTATATATACTTGTTCTTCCAAATCCCTAGCTCTCATTCTGACCTGGAATCAATATTGGGCATTAGTCGTTCTTAATTAAGTTTCCCGTTTCTATATGGTGTAGTATACTAATCACTATAATCGAGGATATACCTTTCCATTGTATCCATATGGTTATTAATATATCTTTTTTTCACCAAAGCTTTAGTAGTAGTAACGTCAACTGATCAAATTAAAGTAAATGCTTTGCCATAATATAAATTTATTTGAAAGGGGGTTGTAAAAAATTCATGTACTAACGAAAAAAATAATGAAAATTAGGGTTTCTGAGTTATGACGCAATGAAATAAACAGAGAAAGAAGGAATCAAAATGATCGAAAAAGGATAGAAGAGGCAGATAAGATTCGAGTCCCCATCTCACGGTCACTTCTAGATATAGCCTTTCATGTCTCAACCTCTCCATCTTCTCTCTCTTTACGAAACAATACAATGGAAAGAGAGACAAATGACAAATATACTGATATACACCTACATGAAGGGACTAGAGAGAGAGAGAGAGATGACTTTGTGGTCCTCTGTCATTTTTCTCTTTGTTTCTTGTTGGGTCCAAAATTTTGTTTTCACGAACTTCAAACGCGTGTGTACTTGATCGAGTTCCATCAGTACATGTTAAGGAATAATGTGCAATCAACGTTTGCTAATCAACTATTTTCACGCGATATTACTTAGCTTTAACTAAAAAGTCTAAAATGCAAAACCTAACTAATAAATGTGTTTCTCTTTTTTTTTATCCTTCTCTCTATTGTTTTTTTTCATGGAACATGAAAGTTATCTTAAGAGTATTTAGATTTTCCAAAGATTGTGAAAAAACAAGTGTTGTAACGATTCTCTTAATAGTTAGTGTCTTTTCAGTTCACAAATTTTTGCTTTAGATACTACTAAAACTTCCTAGTTTACCAAAAAGCTTGATTATGGTAGAGGAATGTCCAATTCTCCATTGATTCATAAATGAACTAAAAATATTAAAAGATTATAACACATACTTCCAAACCTAAGCAAATTAAAAAACTTAAAATAAACCGAAGGTTATTGGAACATTGCAACTTTAGACCATAATCCATATATTAGGTGACACCCAGACAACAGTTATGTCATAGCAATCTACATGAAAACAAGCTGAGATTGAAGAGTAGAGACAAACCAAAGTGAAATTTTTGGTTCTGATCATGTGCCAGCTCGTGGCTTTCTTGTCGACTTGGTGCGAAATTTTACTGCATCTCTTTGATATTGAATCTTGCTTCTCCAATTGAATATGATCATGGCGGGTTTTCATTTACCCGGTAGCTTTCTTTGTGAAGCCTTGCTTTTTACCAACATCTTCTCTTATGTGTAGTGAATTATATGCCCAAGTATTGCAAGACATTCCTCCTGGCTGATGCTCTTCTCTGCCTCTTTTGCAGGGTTTGTAACTTCTTAAGTTACAAGGTATGCATTTTTATTTATTCAAGAAGATTATGAGATCGTAGTCTTTCGATTTCTTATGATCTGTTGTAATGAGATGTATCTTTATTCTGTTTTATCAATGTTTCAGTTTGTTTGGTTTTGATGTATCCTCTGTTGATGGAGTTAAACACTTTTAAATCTTAATGAAAGTATGGTTTGAACAAAAGATAAAAAAACAAAAAAACAAAAAAACAAAAAACTTATGACACATACTTGTATGATTGAAAATTTTTATTCAGCTGTGAGAAAAGCTTATCCAGGCTGCTGCAGTAAGAGAAATGATTGGACCCTACGTTGGAGTCTGGATATGTATTAAATGGTCATCGGAAGTAGTGCAACGCAATTTTTTGTGCAATTATTTTGGCTTTATTATGTTTTAAAACTAAACTGAATTATTGATGTGAAGTGTTTGATCAGATAAATATAAGATTCAATCTTTCAGTCAATACGCTTAACCTATCGGACAACAACCTATCAATGTGTATAATTTTTTTTTGTTTAATCTAGAGTATTCCATATCTATATAAATCCCAAAGTGATCTTCAAAAGAAAGTGAAGCCTGCGTATGTCTTCTTTTTAGATATTAAAATGAGATCCATTATAGTTTTGTATCAGTATGACCACACGAGTTTTATGTCGTGGGATTGTTTCGAATCTGGGTCTCTTTTGACATCTATCAACCACTAGATTACTCTCGTGTGGTTCATTGTGTGTATTGTGTACCATACATGCATGTGTATATATAACATCAATTGTCCATCATCATCATTATTACTGAGGAATATTTACTGTTATTATGCTTCTTTTAGGGAATCTAAATGTGACCAACAATAAACTCATGTCATAATAGTGAAGTGAGGGCTTAGAGAGAGAAAGCTCTGTCTTCTCACTAGATCTAAAACGTGAAAAGTGCCGCCGGCCGACGGAGTGGGCTTCCACAGCCACCGTCGGTCCGGTTTGTTTTTCTGTTTTCTTTTAAGCTGTCTCTCTATCTTTTTAATCTTGCATGTTCTCCCTTTTGATTTTCCGTTTCCGGGAGATGGAAGCTTTCACAGCTCCGTCGCCGTCGGTGTTGTCTCCGAGAGGTGGAGGCTTCTACAGCTCTGCTATCGTCGGTTTTTGTTTCTGGGAGGCGGTGGCTTCTTCAGCACCGCTATCGTCGGCTCTTGTTTCCGGGAAGCGGTGGCTTCTTCAGCACCGCTATCGTCGGCTCTTGTCTCCGGGAGGTGGTAGCTCCTTTAGTACCGCTATCTCCGGTCTTGTTTCTTTATGTTCCCATGGTTCTTTTTCGGTTTTTCTCGATCTCTGAGTATGCGCTTTAAGAGACTTTCAGCCTCTTGAACTTTTATCTGAAACCGCTTTTGTATGTGGGTGATGAAGATTCGATTGTAGGCGTGTAACCGTTTAGATGTGCTCGTAGATCTGTGTTGGTCTGTGGTGGTTCTGTTGGCTTGGGAATCGGATGAGACCTCAAAGTGTTTGATGGATGCTCTCCGGTGAAAGTTTCCCAGGCGGCGAAAATCACGTTATCTCGATCTGTTGGAAATGTGGCGATGTTGGTGTTGGTGTGCTGGAGGAAGCTAGGGTTTTCAAGTTTGGGTTTTGGAATTTAAGCCCATTATGTTTGGTTTCTAGTTGGGCCGTTTGTTTGTTTGGGCCTTTTGTTTTAATGATGTATCTTTGTTGGGCTTTGCCCTTATTATTAAAAATTCAGATGGAAAAAAAAAAAAAATGTGACCAACAAGCCGGGTTTCATCACCACTCTTTCAAACTAAGTTTTGAACCAAATAATTTATCAATTAAAATGTGTGAAACAAATAAGTATTTAGTAGCAGCTAGAGCTAGGGTTTCTTTTCCTTTAAATTATACAGTATTTCCATACTCTTAGCGTCAAATATATTACCCTAATTTGGGAAACTAATGATGCTTCACGTGCAGTGAATACATTTTCCACTTACTCTTATAAATAATACTACTAGAATTACTATACACCAGTGATTTTTTCGCAATGTATAGTTAATTTAGTCACTTAGTAACCATAGCACACATGATAACTTGAACACATTATATAATTCTTATACAAAAGGAAGAACATGTTCTCTTTAGTTATGCGTAAAAGAGAAAGCAAATGTTGAAAAAAGTATAGAAGCTATATAACATTTAGCAACTTTTACCCAAGAAAATAAAAATAATAAAAATATACTGTATGTATTTGTTTTGGACAGTTGAATGACTATGACGACTCATTATGACGAATCCTAATTAAAGAATTATAAAAGTTTATTTGTTTTGTATTGTTGTCTTCACCTAGTCTACTGTCCAACTAAAAGAATTACAAACATTTATTTGTTTTGTATTGTTTGTCTGCGCCTATTATACTGTCCAAATAGTTCTTCATTTCAAATTTTACACACACACATAGAAGTGTGATATCTCTTGCGTGTGTATTTATTTACACTGCGAGTAAGAATTGACCCAAAACTATACGCATTCACATTTGTTTTGTCTGATAATTGCTTGGTATACCAAAATCTACATATTGTCTCCAAACACAATCGTTTTCTGATAAATTGATAATCGTCAAAATCGCTGATATAGCCTTAACACACTTTTCGTAGTTGCAAAACCTAGAGGTAGTGGTCTCTACTCTGATGCTGCTTGGAACAGCTCATCGTGTGCAAGTGGTTTGGGCTGGGTGCTAAAAGATATTTCCGGGAAATCTCTTTCTCAAGGAAGCTCGCCAAGGAAGTTTGTAGCCTCAGCGCTAGTCGCGGAAGCTTTGGCGCTAAAGGAAGGCCTCTCTATGGCTTCCCTCGCCGGTATCAAAGACTTAGTCTGTTTCTCAGACTCTAAATGTCTAATCCAATTGCTCACAGGGAACAAGTCTGTGAATGCACTCAAAGGGATCCTCCATGACATATGCGTGTTGAGCAGATCCCTTAATTCTATCTCCTATCGTTTTATTTTACGTAGCGGCAATGTGCAAGCTGATGAACTTGCAAAAAATGCTCTGTTTCTGTTGTCAAACGGGTCTGTAGAATCCGATAACTCTGTTCTTGTTTCTTAAGTAATCTAATGGAAGGTTTGATCAAAAAAAAAACCTAGAGGTAGTGGACCTAGGCCAGACTTCAATTATTTCATAATTTTTATTTTTTATCGTCAAATACTTTGCATATACCATTCAGGTTTTTTGTTAGAAAAGTAAAATAAAAATATATAGGTTTTGGATTGGTAAAAGTAGGAAGCACAAAAAATCTCCTTACTTAGGAGATTAGTGGAATTTGTCAAAAAAGGGGACTAGTGCAAGGTAAACTTAGATACTATAATTTACTCTTTTTCTATTTGTGTATTCAAAGATTTATTATAATAGATTTAAAAGGAGTATCAGGATCCCTAAATTAATTGTAGTTGATTCTGTTAACCAATGTTATAGAATCCACAAAACTAATAACAATTGGACGTAAAACCTTTAACAATCATTAAAATTCCAAATTCCATATAACCTCTTACGTTAACTAAACCGAAAGACAAATGTTAGTTGGCCCAATTATTAGCCCACTAATGCAATGCGCGCCTTATTTACGTAATGACACCGTTTGAAATTTGAACAATGTCTCGAAATAGAAAGTGAACTCATACTGTTAGAGTGATCAACGCTACCTTTTCCGCTATATTTTTTCTGCGGGAACTAAGCACAAAGAAAAAAAACATTCTCCTTTATTTTTGGTATAACCGAAACTAGGGATAAATTAAAATATCGGAAATGAAAAAAAATTATTATTTTATTTTTATTGTATTTCCTTTTCAACCTCTCTTCTCCAGACAATAACAATGATAATTTTTTTTTTTTGTAAAAGGTAATGATAATTTTCCAACAAGAGAAATTTAGGAAAAATGGGTATGGGAAGAAGAAGAATCATGAGTCTTCACTGGGTGTTTATGAAATAGCCTGAGCCACTGCTCTCTATCATTCCTCCTATCTTCATCACTCTCTCCTGCAAATAGAGTTAACAAAAGAATCAACAACGTTTAAAAGCTTGACACTTTGTTTTGTCTTCTTAAACATAAAACACATACATAAAGATCTCATCAGTTTTTTGTGTATAAAAAGATCTAAATGAAAACCAATTCAGAATCAACCGCACCACAACATTTGTGGGGGGGGAATTTGGTAATAGGGTGCAGTGAGTGTTTGAGAGAGAAAGAGTAGACACATCTATTGGATAATAGACTTAAAAGTGGTCTTTAGTATATATGCTCACCTAGTTTTGGAAGCCAAAGGACTCAGACACCCAAACCAGTTTCTCTTTGTCCTTTTTTTTACTTGACTTTTTATAAATTATAGTTACGCATGTGTATGCAATGCTTCAGTTAATGCACACGCACAATATATATTAGAGTGTAATCTTTAATGATTTCATTTTTCTCCACAACATGCATTTCCTTGAAATTGAAGTTGTGAAAATGAGTTTTGAGATTTATAGTGAAATTTCATTTACCTTTTGAAGTGGTGAAAAAAGAGGAGAGAGGAAAGAGGTGTCAAAGTGTACTATCTGCAGTTCTCCAAGAACATAAAGTGCCACTGCAGCAGCAACTTCAGATGGTCTAAACTCAACAAAGTCAATACCTGTTCACTCACATAACCCACCATTATACTTCAACATTTTAACCCCAAAAAAGCACAAAAAAAACAAACAAAAGTGATAGACCTTTTTCACCTTTGGTTTTGCTGGCTAACACTTGTAGTGATCTAGATACCAATGTGTTTGATGGTTCTTGATCACTCTTACTCATCTTCCTCAGGAAATAACTTATGTATGAGCACGGAGTTATCGCTCTCAAACTCCCTTTCAATTTGCTCACCACAAGGAGTTCCATTCTTTGGATTGTTTTGGCCTCAAACAGAAACTGAGGATGTCCAACCTATTCAGAATGTGACCAAAACCGCAATCGATCAATGAGGTTAGCCAGTTAGGCGATTTAGCTATCTTTTTGTGAGAGTGATCCTACCTGAAGAACAGTCAAAAACTTTGGGACACAGGTTTCTTCAAGTTTGGCTGCCAATGATAAACAAGCCACAGCCAACAACTGCATCCTCCAAGCTTCGTCATTCTACAAGAAAAAAAAAATCATATATCAAGAAGCTACATAAGCGGGACTATTTATGAAGGGCCAGAACATGTCCATGAATCAATGAGAACTTACAGGGAAATTATGAACCGACAAGAATCGATCAAAGTAGTTCACTGATAAGCAAATACACAATGGTCCAAACTGGTGGCTCTCACAAGCCTATTGTAATAGAACAAGAGATACATCAAAGTTTTTTTCTTTTCCTCACAACCTTTAGATTTAATATAATATATTTGTCAAATGAGCATCATATTCACAGAATTTAGGCAACATCTCTCTCTTTCTCTCTCTGGAAAAGTCTATTCAATAAATAAAATAAAAAACACACCTTAAAAATCCAGCTTAGGGATTTTATTCTTTTGGCATTGAAATCCATATCTCCACTTCTGAGTCTCATGATGTAATCATCACTTGGCAAATGCTGTTTCTCCTTCTCCATCATATCTCTGATCATCTCTTCGCTCTCCAAGGGAAACCCCATCTGAAAATTCGAAATATCATGACCAACAATCATGTCATCATCATCATCAAAGTTGTCAATGGTTTCTGTACATAAAAGACTCAGTTCTAGATTTTCTGCCATGATAACAGGTTGTTGTTCAAAAAGTAAAATTGTTCTCAATATAATGTCATCTAGAGATTGGGAAGTGATGGATACAAGTTAGAGGAAGGAGCTTTTTATTGATGAAATGAAGATATGTGTTTTTTCTTTTTGGGCAAGTAGGTAATGTGAGAATAGGAGAAGGAGATCAAAGAGTAGATTAGAGAAAGTGAATTCACTATCATGGTAACTATGTTTCCATATTGGCAAATATATGGAATATGTTTGAATTTTGTTGTAGGAATGATAGTTAGTTTTGTTCATTGTATTTTAGGTTTTGGAATCTGAATAGTCGTATAAATCCTAAAATAGCCTATTCTAAAAATGTTATCATATTATCCCCATTCTAGTTACAGCTAGTATAGTTTGACTAATAGTTTAAAACAGTATCAAATCCATAAATTTCTAAAAATATATTATATTTTCATGAATTTCAATATTTTTAGATTAATATCTTGTTGTATTTTTAAGCATAAAAATGATAAAATTGTATGACAGAATATACAAAATTGGCATTGTGATATTTTTCTCATTAGCATAAATATTCGTTGAACCATAAGATTTTGTTCTAAATCGAAGCGAATTGAAATATGATCCAAATAAGCCAATGTAAATTAATATTAGCATAAATAAAATCCATTGATGACAAAAAAATGACGATGAAAAAAAGAAGCATAAATAAAATCCATCAGTAATGATGGTTAAATTATTTTGTCTCACTGATCTTTGACTACACTGATTTTACTATATGGTCACTTTCAAAGTCAAAATTTTCAATTACTATCACTGTATATAACTTTGAATGAAACCAGTAAACTGTAGAGATGTATAAGAACTATGTCTTATACAAGTCTGATATGGTCTTTCTTTAATATGAATTTGTTTTACCCAAAGATATTGTCTTCTGTATTATCCAACATTTAAGAGGAACTATTCAGTCTTTGTTTTACATAGAATATGTATTTTCTTTCCCAACTGGTGGTCAAGTTCTAGAGTCCAGGACTAATGCTTTATGATCTCCGGAGATCATATATGACTATATCTTTTTAAGTTGATTAGTATTTATTTTCTTTGGTTGAATTTACTTAAAATGATCTTATGACTGCATTATATTATTTTTTATTCATGTGGAATTAAACAACTATTTCATATCAATTATCATCCACACAAAATTTTCAAAATACCACATGCATGTCCTGTATTATTTTCAAAATTACAAAGGTGTTTTATTCTCATATTGGTAGTAACAATGTGAATTAAAATCACGTGCGCGCGAGATAATAAAACTTTGGTGTTAATGTTTTTCGAATTGGACCAAAAAGACTAACTCTTTTATCATTTTTTTCATGCATGCAAATGCCAAAGAAAAGTGGTCCAGGTAAACTCTTTTGTATTAAATAAGATATATAAATCAACTGAATTACAAATGATTTTGCTTTAACAGAAAACCAAACCTTAGAGGAGACTGATCATTCCTACAAAGGCTCGGTCTCCGGCATAGGCAAATGAACTGACCGCTTAGGGCATTCCGATTTTGTACAAGAATTTTATATATATGTGGAGGCACTATAAAAAAAATTAATGAAGAACAAAGACATAAAATTTGTAGTTTAGAGTAGGGTATTATAATTTTTTTTTTAAAGTTGGACCGGCCCTTCCTACAGTCCTTATGTTTGCAACTATCAAAGCCGCGTTTCATCACAATCACAGTTGCGGGGACATTACATAACCATCCCTCTCGTCTCGTCCATAAGCCCCTTCAGGCCATTTAGTTACATTTTGGTGTCATCATCCACATGGTCTTATTATATCCGATCACAAGAGTCAGAGAGTTCTAATGATGTGACTTAATATGAGAGCTAACCTGCATATCGGAGGTCCACAGAATTAGATTGTCCCTTAGCAACTGCATGAGAGTACTGTCTTTGTATGACTCCTCTCCCGACGTGTCCAGCTCAGCAATGGCTTCCTCAAAAGCCTACAGTGATAGAATTTCAGTAGAAGTTAGGCCATGCTGCTATTTTTTCTCAGAAGAGTTGAGAATCTCGTGATTATGGGCCTTTAGTTAGGCTTCTAGATGGCCTTTGTAAAATCTGTTACAAAAATATAAAAAATAAACGTCGCCTGAGAGATTCGAACTCTCGCGGGGAAACCCCATGTACTTAGCAGGCACACGCCTTAACCACTCGGCCAAAGCGACTTGTTGCTTATTGCTTATTGCTCTTTTCAAGAAACTATAATTTAACTGCGAGTCCTAAAAAATAGATGTCATTCTACAATCTACACTAATCACACAGTCAGTCATACAGATGTATATGATATTGACTGGTTAATTTAGAAAAAAAATGTTAAGAATTGAAAAGGATTGATTACAACAGTATAATAATATAGAAAGTCAAATTCAGTTAAATTCTCTGATTAATATTTATTCAGATATTATTGCTTACTGAGGTAAAGATAATATTATCCCAAATTAAAATTGTTTCCAATAAACATTACTAGTACATTACAGTGGAATGTTAGAAAGTCAAATTAATCAAGTGAATGTGATTATGCAACATTAAGGAGTCAAAGAAAACAATTAAGTAATTGACCGTTATGATGGAGTCACGAGAATAGTGAAAATGGTAATGGGCAATCAAGACATGGAGGGACCCATGGAGAGACAAGACATCAAAGTTAATGAACAGTTGTCTTTGTGAGACAAAACTCACGCGCTCTCTCAATCTTCTAACACCGTTGACGAAAGAAAGAAAAGAAAGAAAGCTTCCACACTCTCAATCCTCTGCAGAAATTGAGATGAACAGTTCGTTCTGATTCATGTGAATCTTAGCTTCTCTGCTTCACTGGTGTTTCTGGGGTATTGATTGATTAACTTTCCTGGATCTGTTTTTTTTTTCGTTTCTGAGAAGCAAAATGATAAGGATGAACTTGAGAAGAGGGATACTATCTGTGTTCTTCTTCGTCGTCTTGCTGTGCAACGCTTCCACTTCTTCATCCGTAAGTGTGGTGTTATTTAAACATCTCTATGTTCCCAGGAAATAATGGTAACCTTCTTAATTTGGAAAGATTCCAGAAATAATAGTTTCAAACTTTCCTGTTGAAGAAATTTCTCAATTTTGAATCTATTTATAGAAAGTTTTATAGAAAGAGACATCAACGGTGGGGGTTATGTGTGTTTGATTGACTCTTGGGTTTTGTTTTAATTTATAGACTTGAAATTTGATTAGTTTCGGACCGAAAAACAATAACTCAACACTTGTTTAGTCTCTCTTTGAGTTAGACCATGTTTATTGCAGGTCCCTTAAGTTGGATCTCTTAGCGTACATTCACTTAGCTTTTAACTGAAAACGATAAAGGATGCCCTTAAATCTCTTATATAAGGGACGTCCCTTAACGTTTTCAGTTAAAAGCTAAGGGACTTTACGATAACTCAACACTTGTTTAGTCTCTCTTTGAGTTAGACCATGTTTATTGCAGGTCCCTTAAGTTGGATCTCTTAGCGTACATTCACTTAGCTTTTAACTGAAAACGATAAAGGATGCCCTTAAATCTCTTATATAAGGGACGTCCCTTAACGTTTTCAGTTAAAAGCTAAGGGACTTTACGATAAGGGATCCAGCTTAAAGATCTGCAATAATCCAGCTTAAGGGACCTGCAATAATCCAGCTTAGGTAGTAAACTTTTTATGATGGATTTTAAAACCAATTCATTTTGCAGGAAGCGATCACAATAAAACCAAGACATTTATCTTTGCTAAAAAGTGCTTTACAACGGGTATGAACTAAATTCTTTAAAATGATTTTTTTATAACTGATCTCTTTGTTGATTTTCAGAAATTAAAATGAATTGATGAGACTTGTGTTTTTTTTTGTTTTTTTTAAATTTCAGCCAAGTGGGGAGCAGTCTGATCTATGGAAGCCAATGACAGATCAAGGATGGAGTCCATGTCTCGATTTAGAAGATCCCCCTTGTAACTATTGACAAACATTTTCTCATTTAGTTTTACTACATTAATCTCTGTCTAATCTCTGTTTTTGAGTAGCATTACCGGATAAAACCAACGGATATATCCAAGTGTTTCTCGATGGAGGACTTAACCAACAACGAATGGGTATATGTGACGCAGTTGCAGTTGCTAAGATCCTAAACGCAACTCTCGTGATCCCATTTCTTGAAGTCAATCCCGTTTGGCAAGACTCAAGGTAACGTTTCTGAAAACGTTTTACGTGTGATATCTAAAATTGAAGCTGAAGTTTATGTTTCGTTTGCAGTTCTTTTGTTGATATATTTGACGTGGATCATTTTATCGATTCCTTAAAGGATGACATAAGAGTAGTTAAAGAACTTCCTGAGGAATATTCTTGGAGTACAAGAGAGTACTACGCCACAGCTGTCCGTGAGACACGTGTTAAAACTGCACCTGTTCATGCTTCTGCACAGTGGTATGTAGAGAATGTCTCACCACTTCTTCACAGGTAAATGTTCTTTTTACGTTAATCTTACAGTTTGTGTAACATTTACAAGACTCTTCAATGTTTGGAGTTTTTTTTTTTTGTAGCTATGGGATTGCTGCTATTTCTCCATTCTCTCACCGTCTATCGTTTGATCATTTACCTGCTGAGATTCAAAGGCTGAGATGCAAAGTAAACTTCCAAGCTTTACGGTTTGTCCCTCATATTACATCGCTTGGTGATGCTCTTGTGAGCCGTCTTAGAAACCCTTTGTGGAGAAGTGACAAGGAAAGAAAGAGTGTGGATCATTTGGGAGACATGACAAATCCACATAGCAGACAAGAACCAGGGAAGTTCGCTGTTCTTCATCTTCGCTTTGATAAGGTAATGTTCACTCTCAGTTCATAACATTTTTTAGGCATAAAGGGTCGGTTCTCGGTTTGGCTTCGGTTTTGGGTAATTCGGTTCAAGAAATTTAGGAACCGTTTGAGTATTTTACAAAATCTGGTTCGGTTCATCTATTTCAGTTTTTGGTTTGGTTCGGATAGTAAAGTTGAGAATCGTCTAGTAACCTAAAAAGATTCGTTTCCAATTTTTTGGGTAACTTTGGATAATATGAGTAAAAATGATATAATTTGGTTTTTTTCAGTTTAAATATCGGATAGTTCGAATACTTTATAATATCTAAGATAAAAATATTCAGGTAATTCAAATTTTCAGATAATTAGGTTATAAACAGTATTTTAATTATATAATATGTGTTTTAAAATTGTCGATATTTATTCGGTTATGGTTCAGTTTTGTTGTTTTGGTTTTAGAGATACATGATCTGTTTGGATATTTATGAAATTTGGTTTAGTTTCGGTTTGTTTTTTCGATTCGGTATGGTTCGGTTCAGTTTGTTGGTTCCGGGTGCCCATGCCTAACATTTTTGGTGATGTCTTTTGAGTTGTTTGGTAATAAGAAGTTTGTTCTGTATATAGGACATGGCTGCTCATTCAGCATGTGACTTTGGTGGAGGCAAAGCAGAAAAACTTGCATTGGCCAAGTACAGACAAATGATTTGGCAAGGAAGAGTGTTGAACTCTCAGTTCACAGACGAAGAGCTAAGAAGTCAAGGACGTTGTCCTCTAACACCAGAAGAGATGGGACTTCTCTTAGCTGCTTTCGGTTTTGACAACAACACTCGTCTCTATCTCGCCTCCCACAAGGTCAAACTCTTCACTAACATTACTTCTCTAACCTCTTCTTATGTTTAATTTTCTTTAATGCTTTCTAGGTATATGGAGGAGAAGCTAGAATCTCAGCGTTAAGACAAGTTTTCCCAAGAATGGAAGACAAAAGAAGCTTAGCTTCTTCAGAAGAACGAGCTAGAATCAAAGGCAAAGCTTCTTTACTAGCTGCACTTGATTACTACGTGAGCATGCACAGCGACGTGTTCATCTCTGCGTCACCTGGAAACATGCACAACGCTCTCGTTGGTCATAGAACGTTCGAGAATCTCAAGACGATTAGACCGAACATGGCGTTGATAGGACAGCTTTTCTTGAACAAAAGCATCACTTGGGTTGATTTTCAACAGGCGCTTGGTGAAGGTCATGTGAATAGACAAGGGCAGATCCGGTTAAGGAAACGCAAACAGTCTATTTATACTTATCCGGCTCCTGATTGTATGTGCCATGTTTGATCATGAACGAGGCTATGATAAAATAGTTATACATTTTGGTTAGAAATCTAGTACTATGTTAACTTTTTTTTTATCTCTATATATAAACTTTTCTTAATTAATTAAAAGAAAATCAGTGCGTTGATAGAGTATGTCAAAATGGTTTACTAACTTATATCCATTGGTTCCAATTAAAATTACATTAATCTTCTTACAAAAAATTAAAAGAATAGCTAAATATTCAGTTTTATCTTTATTTAATAGTTAAAATTTTATACTAATTATTCCTTATATTTAAGTAGAAGTAAAATAGAAATTATTGTTAAAATTTACATTAAAACTAAAAAACGATATTTGCTTTTATAATGAAAATGTTACTGCACAACAAAACTTAATTTGACATAAAACCGTAATAAACCAAGTAAACCGATGCTGGTTATCAACAAATAATCCATCTTTTGTTGGTTAATTGGTAAAGAATCAGGTGTTGTGGAGTCTAGGGTAGAACCGTACAGCAACAGTTGCCAACAAACCAAGTAAACCGCTAATAACCGTCGGATCAAATTATTAAATTGGTTAGGCCCGAAAAAAACGGGGGAAAGAAACCAAAACAGAGAGACTTTTGTAGTATTTAAATGAAGAAACAGAGCAGGAGATGATGAGATAAAAGCTTCTTCTTCTTCTTCTTCTCTACAAGTCACAGAAAAGTCAAGAGACTACGCGTGTTTCTTCGATCGTCGATCTGTATCTTCTCTCTCGGTAATCTACGTCTCGAGAATTTTATATCCGAATATTCCGGCGAATCATTGCACGGACATCGATCGCTTTCGTTTTCTTTTTATCTTTAATTTTTGAAATTGAACCACTGATTAATTTAGTTAATTTTGTGATGATGATTATGATGTAATTGGATGATGTCATAAACAACATAGAGTATTTAATGTATTGGAGATTTTTCTCTGTTTGGTTTTTTATGAATTTGCTTTACTGTTGGTTGTATATGATTGGCTAGTGACAATCATTATGATGATTTTTTTAAAAAGTTGATTATTTAATGACTGGTTACAGGTTGAGGAAGAAAAAGATAAAAGAAGCATTGATACATGGCTGATTGATAAGAATTTTATTCTCCGGAGGTTCGGAGTTTTTTTTTTTTTTTTTGAAATAAATAAGAAGAAGATGGCAGTCT